GCGCAAAATGGTCATCATTGCGGATACAACAGATGCCAACCTTGCTGATGCATGCTTCTCGAAGAGAAATTAGCAGAACGCTTCGTCCATTCGTTGAACAACTTGTCGCCTCTATGCATAGCTGTTTGCATCACCTCCGTAGCACTTTCATGTCCGATAACCGTCTCTATCTACCAACACGCCAAATTAATGTGAAGCGTGCCGGTATGAATTATTTTCGTCGGAAACTAGCATCGGTTTTAGTGGTACGAGTTCGCCTGATTTTTCCAGCTGCCAATCCACCTTTACACTACAAACTTCTGATTCTATAGTACTTACTTCATCCAGTTGGTTCACTTTCAGCCTTTTCTATCTCAAAATTAATGTCAATTATAATTATCTACGAACAGTTGAAATGCAACTATTCTCCGGTTTTACCTGTCCAATCAGAAAATAGAGGTAATTCTCACTTTCATTAAATATAGGTCATTTAAAATGTTTGCATCTGGGGAGTCGGGCATTTATAGTGAACTGTGTCCAAGTTAATATTAGTCTCATTATTTTGCTGGCAACCTTATTAAATTGTAAAGATTCGCTAGCTGACAACATGTTGGTCCGATTTGGCAGTCTGTATATGCCACGAAGTGACGCCAAGACAGTATAGGCAGGAAATTTTACCATTTAAGGCACGCATGCACTTCTAGTTGCTTATCGTACGAATTATTTGATGATATGTCCCTGAGCATGAACTTTCAAGCAAGGCAGAAGGATGCTGATCAAATGCTGAAACCAAGATTTTGTTTTTCCGAAGACTCGAGCTTCCTAAGTAGTCCATTGTTGGAGACGGCTGATCGCGGCTTTAGAGAGATTCATTATGCGAAGGCAGTAAAATACAAAAGTCTGCCCTTTCTAAAAACATGCAGTAACGACATGATATTTGTGAGAGAAGGATGTCGCTAAGAAAAAATGAACCAAAATAACTGAGATGGTTTATCAGACACATAAGGGGAGCTTGGACCGACAATTACCACACATTTTGAGACAGAAACGGATTAAAATAAAACCGCTGGGTAAGAGGTGTGAAATTTATTCCCCGATAAGGAATGAGTGAAGGCCCCCAAATATCTGTGGCATACAAAGAATACCTAATATACTTATTTGGGTGGGTTTTAATGCGACCGATTATTCCGGTTTCGGGTTTCATCGTACAAGGTTGGGTCGTCTGTTGTAGACGGTATGGTAGATTATCTACAATGACCTCAGCTCAGAGAGTTGAGAAGAGATCGTTATGGACACTTAATGTTTATTTTTTAAATGGTCGACGGTTTAATCTTCCAGAAGAACGTGCCGAACAATGTTTGCAACCCACCCAACGCAGAATGCCTAGAAGGGCCTTTCACGGACTGCCAAGACTTGGCCGTCTCATCTAATCCTCTGATCAAATAAGTGTCGAAATTCGCAAAAAATGTCATTAAATGATGGAGCGATATAACGCTAATCTACGTTATTTGATTTACCTGTTTACCTTTTTCGGAGATGAGTGTCACGGTTTCCCTCACAGTTAATCATTTATTGTTGTCGTAAACCCCAAGTACTAAACAGACCATCCGTCCCCAATCAACGAATGACATTCCTAGGATTTCAGTGACTACAGTCGTTGTCATAGGCCTGAAGCTTCATGTTGTCTTCGCTTATTGGATTTTAGGAGTTTTACGATAACAAAGGAAAGTTCCAGACTATTGCCGCCAAATTAGCCTGGTCTTATTTGCCTGAACCAATATTTCACCATGGGCTACTTTGGTAATTTCAGTTATACATAAAATAATGTGGAGTTAGCGTCCAGACTACACGAAAGTTTATGCTTCCCCAAACGCTATTGAACAGTTCTATGTACGTTGAAGTACACAATAATAATCATAAGGGACTCCGAATGTGAACTTTTATAACATCAATGGTTTTGGCCAACATTCAGAAATCACATCTATGAATAATATAGAATGCAGAGTATGGTGTCGCTTACAAAATACACTGGAGAAACTGGTCATGCTTCTAATCACCAATGACCAGGGAAATCCAAAGGCAGAACGACCAATACTTAAGACGTGGTATTCAGATACCAAATCTTTCGCAACAAGGACATAAGGGTCGCTAGACAGACGAACCGTCACAGAGGCTCAACAATCCTCCATCGAGGTAGTGAATCATGACGGACGCATCTGTCAGGCCTGCCAAACATTAGCCAAAAAACCGAGACAACAAAAAAGGAAAATCATGGCTTTTAAATTTCCTTAGAAATAAGGCACGAAATTGGAGTAAATCCGTCTAAACTACGATCTATAGCCGCTGGCCAAAATTCAATGTGGGTATTGGGGACGAATCCCGCCAGTCACGGCGAAATAACTGATAACAGGCTTTTAGCAGTGCATATTGGGGTTACAGGATACGATACTAGCAGCACAGATACTAGCTAAAAGCTCACACTTTCGTTCCGCATTTTTCTGTCGTCGCATGACACCGCTGAGAATGGTTCGGTACGTCAGTCAGTCCGCCAGCATTCCTCTTATACCCTCTGGTGGATGCGCCAGTTTGGAAATGGTTGATTTTCAGTTTCCTCAGAAAGTGACCGTTGATTAAGAGTTAATTAGTTTGGACTAACGTCCATGGACGCAGACCACCGCATCGATGATTTCCACCGTATGCCCTACAGCATGGTGGGCGCCTGAACGGCGAAATGTGCGTGCAGTAGTTTGTAGTGATTTTGGACTTTTGCTGCATCTACCGCGGCCCCTCCTCCATCAGCTCCCTCCCCCTGAGCACGATGTCAAGAGAAAGTGAGGAAGACCGAAGGTGGTGCAGCGGCCGACAGAGCTAAACAGCCCCTCTACGCGTACAACACACGACCCGCGCACGATAGACCCGATTTCGACAGGAACAAGAAGGGGGGGTGGCTCTGGTCCCAACTGAGCAGAGATTTTGCAGAGGCTGCGTCAAAAAGGAACCACTGCAGTTTGACTTCCCCTCCCCGCCAGTTGGCAGCCTTCCAAGCCACGACTTTCAGCGTGTCAGACTGTTTATGGTGGGGCGTATGTACCAAGTTCTATGGATAGGGGAAATCCAGAGTCTATCTCACCATCTCTTTTCTCTCCCTAGCTCTTATCCACAGTCCGAAGTGTGCGGCCATCGAAAGCGGCTATTAGGTGCAAGTGACTAACGCGGCGCGAGGCTGCGCCTAGGCGTGCCACAATACCCCATGTGTGGCAGTTGTTATGGGTGTGCGGTTTGACTTACATCTGTCGTGCCTTAATCTAGTCCTCGTGTTGGTCCAGCCCATTTATCGCGTGGCCCTGTGTGGGGGCATAAACTACCCAGAATCAATGTGGCAAAACTTTCTCATTCGGAGAATGGTCGCGCTGATACGCTGCCCCGCTTATAGCAAGGTCCGAAAACGAACAGATTCTTTGAAAGAGCTCAAGAACCTCTCTTACTTCGGCCTCACATTGCTCACTGGCTTCTCGGGAAATATTGGTCAATTTGCTTAAGTTATTGTGCTGTCTGACCTTGTCTCACTAGTCGCTATCACTTGGGGTATGATGCGTGATACTCTATGCAGGTGGTTTAAGAAGAAGTGCGGCGGAAAAAAGAGTCACCGCAATCGAGACCACTGTTGTGCAGACGTCGCGACTTCAGCCCCAACCAAGGAGACACGATTTTTCTTCTCCTGCCCCTGCTACTGCTCGACCATGGTCTATGAAGACGGAAGCTCAGAAGAAGTAAACAGTTGTCCTGACGCTCTTTTACTCTTCTTCTTCGCAACAAGAGTGATGGCCTTGCCTTTTGACCTCTGCTCCTGACTAGGACACGCTAACGCCTGCAGTCGCCGTCATGGCATTCGGTACAGGCATCCAAAGCTAATAAGGCTTTTGTTCCAACGATCGTGTATCACTCTTCGTGACTACTTCCGTGAACTCGCCTCTTCGCATCCATCAACGGCTATTGCGCCCGCATAGCCAGGTGGCGCGGCCCACTTCCCGGACTGCTGCGACCCAGGAAACGCGAGCTCGGTCCAGTCATCGCCTTTACCCTTCCCCTCCCTGTATTGTTCTACTACAGAAATGCTAATTCGTAGTTGCAATAGCACAGTCTCTAGTGATGGATTCCTGAACCAGTTTGACAACTCAGACGAGTAAACCTACTGTTTCAGTGGTCGCGCCTTCACTTATTTGTTACAAGGACTTGGGAATCGCACATTTGACTCCAATATTTGCATGTGTTTCCAACGCTAAAAATTTCACAAACTTCCAAACCCGTTCATTTCGATACCTCATAATTCTATTTTGAGTAACTTTCAATTAGTGCTGAGAAGCACATTCTACTATTAACCACACTTATGTAAGTTGCGTCCATTTGCTCTATACCGACTACAAGATGAAATACGGATGGTTCTGATTCGTCTCTGAGTTTCGGTCTAAGGCCTTCCAAGTCGTCATTTGACGGGTTAGAGAGAATAACTGCGTGAAAATTGCCGTATAAGTCGCCTTCGAACCGCCCATGAAATCTTCATATTCATTGTAATCACTAATGCATTATTTTAGTTTCTTTTCCGGTCCTTGATTGCTTTATATCGCGTCTTGTAGAATCCGAAGATATTTTATGCTACGAAGTTTTGCTTCACGTCTATTAGATCGCTTTTCCGCTAATTAAAAAGTTGTTTTAATTTTACCTCGCGTCCAGTTGTTATGGTATTGTTTACACTTTTGACGCTGTTCACCAGACAGTCTGCCAGCTGTGGTATACGGGCTGTTTTATTTGTTTGTTTATGCGTGCGAATAGAGAATAAAAAACATAGAACTTATGTTCGCTGGGCCGATCTATAAAGAGATCAAAAGTCTCTAGTCGTCATTGTTTTTTTTTGTTAAGTCAACAAAGATGGTAAAAATCAAAACGAAGCAAGTCCATAGGCTGTTAAATCAGGTGCGACAGATAGTTTTCGGTGTGCGCTGGCAGAAACAGGAGATATCCTGTTATGCTTCACCTGAAGAGTCTCTCTTCTCTTCTGGCAATGTTTGTGTATAGTCGCTTACATTTGAATCCTCAGAGGAACTTAACTTGTAGGAGGGTTTGGCAAATGGCAGGGACTCAGTACTCTCAAAGTCGTACTGTTCGTTCAGAACACTGAGCTTTGGCTTCATTTCTGGGGTATCCGGCATCTCAGCGCCTATCGTTGCTCGCCTGCGGATCAGAGAAGCCTTTGAGTGGATGGCCTTAAGGAAGTCATGGCTGAAATCCGACTGCCGCCTAGTTCCCGGTTCAAAGCAGACTCTTTTAGCGCGCTGGACTTCCGAGCGGATATCAATATCTTCATCATTGTCGTCCTGCGATTTTGCTGTACGCAGAATTGACTTGAATACTTTATCTGTGCCGTCCTTGCTATATCTCACTTTTGTCCTTTCTTTAACCTCTGTCCCCCTTGATTCTGCCGAGTCCAGTCTGTCTAAGGACCATGCAGACATTGAATTCATTTGCCTGTAGAACTGCTCCTTCACGAGTTCCGGCAACTTTTCCAGGTGAACGGAGGATTTCGTTCGCTGAATGCTGGCGTAGTGCAACTTAAGAGCAACCTTCTCGTACACACGAACCAGCTTACTTGTGCTCGTTTCAGGGTCTCGCTGGAGCACCCGGCGAATGTATCTGTCATCAAGATCGAGGAAGATTTGGCGCAAGTGGTTGCGCCCTGTGTTGCCTGAAATGGACTCAATGCAAGCAAGACAGTGATCGAAGATGGACTGGTTCAGTGTCATTAGAATGCTGACGCTCTCTTGGCCCTCTAATTTTATTTTCAGCAAACGGACAAGCGGCTTCATTGTCACCCCCATGAAACAGACCGTGACTAGGATGATGAGCAGAGTGGTTGTTGCAATGAGATCGTACACGCGTTCACCGAGGGGACCCAGCGTTCGCTTATCAATCAGCAGTGCCAGTGCCAATGCAACCGCACCGCGAAGACCTCCGTAAATGAGGATGATTTGTTCAGTGAAGGAGATCTTCCGGTTGTCCACTCTCACCATGTTGATCGCGAATGTCAGCGCCATCACGACGATCAGTCTGGCCACAATGCACATTGTAATGCCCCAGAGGCAAAATCCATTTTGCCAGACGAGGCTAACATTCAGCAATTGAATGCCAATTAATACAAAGATTATGGCCTCACATACGGTCGCCGACTCTTCTGTAATAGTTCTTATCGTCTTCACCGCTTTCTTTTTCATGTTGTCGAAGGCGTATGCGGCCTGTACGAGACCACAACCAATCATAGAAATTATACCAGACCAGGCCACCATGTCGGCGATAAGGTAAGCAAGATAGCCAAGCAGAATTGTTACTGTGACTTCGTGTTTTATTCCAAAACGTGTGATGAGGCTTGTGAGGACACCGAAGAAAATGCCGACCAGCAGTCCACCAACACTGATTGAAAAGAAGGACACAAAACCAACGGCAATCTGCGAACCTTCAATTACAACATGGCCGCAGAACGCACTCATTATGTTGTAGAGGACCACAGTGACAGCGTCATTAAGTAGGGACTCACCAAAAACCATATAATAGAGACTCAAGTCAACACCGATATCCTGAAATATGGCCAAAACGGCGACTGGATCAACGGCAACTATAAGAGACGCGAACAGGAGGTAGACTTTGATGTCCATCGTCGGAACGTTCGGCCCCATCGCACCTGCCACGTCCAAGGCATACATGACAAAGCCTATGATGAAGAAGTTCAAGACGGTACCGCACACAGCGTAGACCAGAATGATCCCGAGATATTCGCCGAAAGTGCGATTATAGAGGCAGTAAGCTGACTCTAATACGATCGGCGGCAGGAGAAATTCAAAGAAAAGTTCCGGGCTAAGATTCCACAGTGTAGTCTCAATGTCGATGCCACAGGCAAATCGCACAATGCAACCAAGGCAGACGCCGATTACAATTAACACCATTGATTCCGGAATGAGGTCGGAAACGAACCTAATTCGTCCATAGTAAGTCTTTATCATGGCAATGCATAGAACAAATAGAATGGCAGTCACATGACGAGAGAACTCATCGAATCGCCAGTCAGCAATTTTCACAGGCTTCGGGCTGACAGGAGTGGTGACATTGCTTTGCGATGCATTTGACGCAGCGACGACACCAACATCACCCAAGACAAGAGGTAAGATAAGAACAAGAAGATGAAAAACTGTCATGGCTGTCGCCTGAAACCTCTTTCTTTCTTTCTGAGGATGCTGACCTTCGGGGGCTTATTTAACCTCAAATATATGTGCTATGTTCTCTTACTAACGGTCGGGCCTTGATCGCGATTTTTCCGCATTAATTAAATGTGTTTTTAAAGGAAACCCCTGTGTTTTCTGACAAGGATTTATCTGGTTAGCTAGTCCCCACATTCTCAAAGAAATGCGCTCCATGGGTGTTTTCACACATTCTAAATGCAAATTATCTACAGCCTCTCTGGTTAAGGAGTCATTTAGCAAAGTTCATCTACGAATGCGTGCGCTCCGTCAAGAAGCCATTTGGAGGAAACTTGGAACTGAACTGCGGAAAGTAAATACAGTCAGTGACCGATCTCACGAAATGTTGACCTAGTTTTGTGAAATGCGTTTTCAATTAGGAGGGATTACTAAAGGGGTTGTGCGATTGGTTATCTAACGGGATCATCCCATAATGCCTCAGATACGCTTTCATGCTAGCTTTCGATGGCATCTTTATCGCCCGACTAAAAAACCGCACTCAGGTTAAAAGTGGCTACTTAAGCAGTGTGCACCAATTTAACTGCCTTTTATTGCCCTCGTGAACATGCATAAATGTGTTCTTGGTATTCATACCTGCAGAATAGTACATTTTCTCCTAACGTTATACTCATGACAACAATCTACGTTCCAAAAAACGCCTTCAATTCCCAATTAATTTGGAGCCCGACCTGGCATTGCTTTCGAGTTTAGGGTTCTCGGACTTCAAGCTGTATACTTTTCGTGCAAGGGAAATTATTGACTCCTCTAGGCAATTAAAAAGATTCTATATGAGGCTAATAAAATTTTACAATGGATGAGGTCTGCGTTACGTGCTTTACGGGGAACATTAATGGACAGAAGGATGCGACGCTATTTTAATGGACATTTCACGATCTTAAAATTTCCATTTAGGGAAGTTTTTTAAAAGAAAAACCCATCCTTTTTCTAGTAAAAAAACTTGGAGGGGACGTGAGTTTCTACTCAAGGAGTGCAGGAAGGTATACCTTTGACTGCGTTTTTAAGTCACTTCTTACCAACTGTGGTTTTTGAAGGTGCTCGAAAAGAAATGCCTCCAAAACCCAACATCCTTGCATGTCCGAAAGATTATGGGATTATGTCGTTAGATAATCAATTTTGCAACCCCACCTTGGGCAAACCTTCTTAAGCGAAATCACATTTCAGAATTTCGGTCAACATTTCACAATATCTATCAGTGATGTCAGCTCGCGATTTAAGGTAAAATACAGACTGACCAGGTGGAATTTCGAGCTGAAGGTGAAAGATATAACGTTTCTAAAATACAACTGTAATGGCTGAAGAGTCTTCAAAGCAAGCGAAAGCAAAGAGCATGTTTAGGTGCCTGAAGAACTCAGCGAAAACGTTACCCATGAAAGCATGCGAGGGACAAGTGTTAAAGGGTCGAGAATATATTTGAGATCGCCAGTTTTTGGTATCTATTATTGAAGACAAGTTACCATGATTATCGGCGCTTTTCAATGTCAATTTAATCATCAAGAACGACGATGTCAACTGTGCGCTCCACGGCTTGGTGGATGTAGGGATAGTGGCTTGCCTGTGAGACGTGTGGCGGTTAAGGATGTGAGATCAATTTAAACCACGCGCAATAATCTCTTTTCTTTTCATGTCAGAAGTCAGAGAGCTGTGAGGACTAGTTTGTTCTGTACACAGGGCAGGTTGCCGTAAGTTGGCTGTTTGCCTGTGACAGAACTAAGCGTCCATTAACGGAGAGCGTCAGTCGCGGTGTGTCTTGTTTACGCGGGAGTGGGTGTCTCGGTCAGCGGAAGGGGATGACTGGCTGATTGTTGGTCGTGTGATTGGACAAATTAGGGGAGGAATGGAGGGCGCATACTCACAAGGCCTCACGGGAATCAAGCAAGAGCGTTCGACGCGCGTTAGGTGATACTAGTTTGTGAGGGCAGCCGGGAGTCACTGCAGCTGGACAGGCGGGGCCCCAGTTCTAGCCGGTGTGGGTGGTCGTTTGTCAGCGGCCTGTCAGTGCTTGTCGCAGCCATCAACCGACAAAACGGAGCTGGAGAAGTGGGGAACTGGAGCGGCTGCTACAGTCGGTTTAAACTGATAGTGAACTTTCGTAGCATTTACCAAACCCACAAGCCACCTTAGCCTGGTGTAAGGATAAACCCAAGAAGATCGCGAGCAGAATTGGATGCTGCAGCCCGTCTACGCGTGCCACACATACACCTGGGTCGCGTGCAGGGGACCGGGTTTTCACAGAAATAAGGAAGAGGCAGCTCGGATCCCACCTGAATGGATTTGCCGTATAGGTCACATTAAGAAATAGACACTGCAGCCCGACTTTCCGTCCTGAGAGTGCCAAGTTATCCCGTCAGTTTGTAGAATTCCAAACCACGACATTCAGCGCAACATGATAATTTAAACATGTGCCAGATTGTTTGCTGTGAGGAATATGCACTAAGCGGCATGTAGACAGAGTCCCCAGAGTCGATCTCCCTTTCTATTACTTCTTCTACGCACCAATCCACCATCGGAGCCGGTCAGCTATCTGATGTTTGAATTGTAGCAAGTGGCTGACAGAGCCACGCACGGCCTAGCCATCAGCACAGTGCACTAGGTTTTCCCATTAGGGCGTGAACGGTTGGTGCTTGCCCAGTGCGGCAAATTTTCATAACCATCACTACAATCAATGCCGCATCAGTTAAACTGGGGAGCCTAATCAGGATAATGTTGGAATAATTTACAAAAATGACCGACCAAACAGAAGACCTATTTGAATTCTTCCTGGATTCAATCTACAATCCAGCTCTGAAGTGTGTAAGGTGTTTTTTGTCCTTATTGGACGTTCTTCTTACGAGTTCACCTTTTGCCTTACCAGTATCGTTATCAACACATACATTTGGAGACTAGACAAGATCTTGGACTACGAACCAAGTCTCAACAACCGCAGGCGATTATCCTGGTAATTTCAACTTACTGAAACTAAATAAGTAGTGGCTGTGTATGTACTAATCTCATAAATTTGGCGGGAATGCTAAACTGCTCAGTACAAGAAGCGCCACTACTTCTACCTGGCTCTATCATTAAATGCTAACTGAAATTCTGAAATATGTTTTCGACCAGAAAATTTTGCTTTCCTGACGTTGTACTATTGCCTATCATTGTATGCTTCATAAGGAACATTGATAAATAGAGATATACAATGCTGGTTAAACGGATCCTTCACTATTTTAACATATCCCATGGGCACATTTTCATAAAGAAGGAGAGACGATCGCTGGGACAAGAACTTTTTTCGCCTGCCATTTCGGAGTCCTGCTCGAACCAACCATCGGATGATGGTGGTGTTTTCGAGCAGGAATCAACAGGAGCAGGAGAATCAACATTTTGCCCAGTGAGGTTCAGCAATGTTTGGAACTGAAATAGAGCAAGTTTATGTGGTCTTATTCTACGTCTCTGGGTGATCTTACAGTTTTTGAAAGTTTTCATGTCGTTCTTGAAAGCTAGACTGGCTCGCAAAGAATATATATTTGAAACAGAGGAGCATGTCGTAAACCACAATGTTTCGCAATTAGCTTTCTTTATCCGTTGTGACTTCAAAGTGCGTCTTGAAGCCAAAAAAATTACACAGGGGTTCACCTTGCGAACCATTTATAGAAAAATATCTCTTAATCGAAGGGCCAGAAATCCCACCCGCACATTCTCTGGGTGGACAAGTTCCTATATTTTCCCAGTCTGTCAAAAGAGGGATGCATGGATCATAAATTGATACTGATATTGACAGAATGCCTCATATCCGGGATAACGGAGTACTACAATCAGAAGAAGGGTGTTCGTTTATTGGCCTTCCAGTAAGCTTTTGTTTAACACGTGAAAACGTTTCTTAGCACTGTCAAGGTTGTGTTAATTCTGTCTAAAATTAGACTGAACTGTTTGTCTTTTGTAAAGCAGCGAACGTGACCTAGATCAGTTTTGGGTTTTCAGTGGTAAATTAGTGAAACGCCTCCTCCTAGTCAAGGGTTATCAAATGTTCAGCGCAGTCAGATCAAGTCTATAATGACGTTTCTGCCCGTGGAAACTTCAGTTCTGGCAACTTAGACAACGTGGTCGGAATTAGAAAAGATACTAGTAATGTGTGTGCCGTGCAAATCGTTAGCACTGTAGTCTAACCTACATATAAGTGACCAACGTCCCAAACTCGGAACTTGAGGTAAAATTTCCGTGAGGATTCAAGTGCTTACACCCATACGCATCGTTTTCGTCCTCACTGAAGAGAACATGGCTTGTGAAATGACCTCAGTGCCGAACAATGCATGCAGACACATTTCTAATTTTATGTTTAGCTGGAGATGAAGGACTACGCTTTTTTCTGAAAAATAACAACAACGTACGGCCAACCGTTGTGGGCGCTGGTTATGAGTCGGCACGTCGTGCAACGTGGTACACCCAAAAAGAGTACACGAGAGATATTCTGGAGAAGGCTCAATCAAATAGGTTTCGTTTTCAGTTAGCCTACAAGCCTCAAGCCTATTTACAAATACTTGATTTCTTACTATGCAGAGTATCTCGTTGGTTCCCTAGATGGCAGTCTTGACATATTTCTCGTTTATAAGCCACTTTTTTAATCAATTCCAGTCCTTTGACGTGGTTGTTGATTTGTAGTTCAACTTTAGGGGAGTTCTACTGATTAAGGATATAAGTCTATGTGGACTAAGCAAATAATAGAAAAGCTCTAAAATAAGTTTCTCAATTATTCCACAGGCGCACCAGACACTGGCTCACATCCAGCTACCCAAAAACCACATAGAAAAGACTAACTTGTCTTGAACCAAACTGCATAGGGAATCGCGAAGGCAAGGGAGTGGAATTTCAGAACGACTGGCTACGGAGTAGCTGATTCATTTGGTTTCGGGATAGGTTCATCACGATTTCATTGGTGAACTTCCGAACGTGTCCGTTTGAAA